CCAAACTTAGCAACTTTAAGACTTGTGTACCTCAACTCCCAGAATTCTCCAGCCGGCTGGAGAATTCTGGGAGTTAAAGTTCACATGTCTTAAAGTTGCCAAATTTGGAGACCCCAGCTCTATGAAAATAATATAAAGTTATCCTTCCATAAATATGTCATTACATAAATAACTGAAATGTATAAAATATATCATTTACTGTTTTAATGAAGTTTTAGTTTGCTAAGTCTATTAAACTGAATATTTCTGGTCACAGTCAGAATTGATGACAAGTGGAATGAAAGAACTCACTTTTGATTTTTCTTCCAGAAGTAGCAAGTCATGACGATTAGCAGGACAGCAGCACAAGTCCCAGATGAGATGCCCACCTTAAGCCAGAAGTCCATGGACTTGCAGATGCTGGCTTTTTCTTCTGGAAGCAGGACACCTCCAGCACATAACTTTGGCTTCCGCCATACATAGGTGGTTCGCTAAAGTGAGGAAAGAGGATCTATCATAGCTTCAGTCTGATAAACAGTAACACAGTCAAGTTCAGCTGTGACAGTGTACCATCGTGACACACTACAGGGATCTTGAAGGATACAGACACTTTTAGGAGCAAGTATTACTAAAATATGTTGCTGAGTGTCACAAGCCTTCTCTACCTGGCAGCATCCATTTTCCCCACTGTCCTCAAGCATATTTCAGTCCAGTGCTGACTACCGTGGGTGGTTTATAATTTGAACTACTATGCATTTCTGTGAAATTCAGTTGCCCTCTAAGTAAACATAGTTTGGATTTCCAGCAGATTTTTTTTCCTTTCCTTTTTCAATGTGGGATCTCTACTTGTTTTTACCTACATGTTTAGTGAATGATTAGCAGTGCACAGTAATCAATCAAATGCAAATTTAAATGTTGTGTAGTGAGGAAAGCAGATCTGTCGTAGTTTCAGTCTGATAAGAAGTTATTTATGAAACAAAAATAAAAGTATGAATGTAATAACTATTTGGTACCAAACACAGTTTAGAACATCTGGACCCAAACAATGCAGAAAATAGCATAGTATTAGCTTGGAAGGGCTGTTAATTCAAATGTAGTAAAAGTTTTCCTATTTAGTCATGTCCAACTCTAGGGCATGGTGTTCATGTCCAATAACATTTATTTATTTATAAAATTTATTGGCCACCCATCTTACCTCAGGTAATACTTTGTTAACTCTATTACCAAATCAGATAAAGCTATATCTTCCAAAGTTATATATTGACCTTTTTTGGGCTATCCCTCATGTGGAAAGGATTTACAATTCTTGATGTCTTGATAAATTTTGAATATTAGTTTAATAATTAATATGCAGCATTTGCTCTACAGTCATATTGACAGTCCTATGAGTTTCATCCCCAAATGTAGCAATAATAGCACAAGTGCAAAAATCTGAATATTCCAATTCCTGAATTGAGTTTTTTAAAAACTTCATCAATTTTCAAAACTAGGAAATTAAAAGCTACACAGACAAGAAAGAAAAGATTCGAGAACATTTAAAAAAATCAAGAAAGGAAAAAGAGGTGCAAAAAGAAAAGGAAAAAAATAGAAAAAAAAAGATTTTCAACTTTCTTTGATGCTGGTGTCAATATATCTTACTTCTATAACCCTTGTAGTTCTAACCTACCTGTATCCCTCCAATGCAGGCACTGATAATGGCATGGTAATCTTCTGCAGAACAGAGAGGACAGGCTTCAACCGACTCCCACAGGAAATGGAAAGTGCATCCATCACAGGTTCCATCGGGACACTTGCTATTTTGAAATTTTAAGAAACGTCTTAAACAGAACCAAATAAAGACACACTTGTGCAGAGAGGTCAACAGACCAAGAGCTAGCTGTTGAAGGTATCAGCAAAGATAATTTCCCAGTCTTACCATCAGGTATCCCTTAAACTAGTTCCCTTTAACCTAATGCTGCCCAGAAATGTTGGAAGATGCAGCTCCTTTCAGTCAGATTAAGGAAGTTTCCCTTAACCAATGATCAACATCATACCTCATGTACAGATTATGTGAGAGTTGCTGAATTACAAAGTAGTTTAATCTGACCATTCTGATATATTTTATTGTCAAAGCATTTGTAAAAGCTCTTTCTAAAAATATAGCTACTGTGAAGAGTATAGCATACCTTCTAGAGATAGTGTTGGAAATAGTTTGAGAGATCAAGCTGGTAAATGTGAACAAACAAGCTTGATCCAAGAATGTATACTTGCCAAACTAGATAGGCAACTTCTGGTCCAGAAACGGGAAAAACTTCTGAGATCCTGGAGAGCTATTAGCACTCACTATTGACAGTATGAAGTTACACTAAATAAACAATGGTCTGAATATTTCACAAGGCTATGCAGGTACTCCTCAACTTACAACAGTTCACTTAGTGATCATTTGAAGTTACAACTGCACTTTAAAAAGTGACTTATGACCATATTTCACACTTATGACCATGCAACATCCGCATGGTCATGTGATTTAAATTTGGATGCTTGACAACTGACTCACATTTATGATGACTGCAGCATCCCTGGATGATATGATCACCTTTTGCGACCTTCTGACAAGCAAACAAATGTGGCAGGAAAAGTCGTAAAATGGGGCAAAACTCACTTAACAAATTTCTTATTTAGCAACATAAAATTTTGCGCTCAATTGTGGTCATAAATTGAGGATTATCTTAGTCTGCTGATACCGTAGAAATTCTCTCAGTAATACAATACTTTCTGAGGCTCATTCTCAAGGAATACATTCAGAAGCTGTAATATTAAGAAATCCCACACTGCCAAGCAATCCTTTAAGAACAGAGAGGTTCCTCCTGAAGCAGAGGAAGGAGGGGAAAAAAGTATCTTCCCATTACCTTGGTAAAGAGAGAGATCCAAGATCAAATTTTAGGGGGTCACATCTCAACCTAATGGTAGTTACTCTTCCATCACGGCATGTCTGGGTCACATCCTTGGATCTGAAGTTCAGAAAAGTCATTACCTTAAGAAAATCTAAACCAGGTTTCCCCCAAATGGTCAATATCCCCCAAATGGTCAATCCTCTCCAATATCCAAAGGGTCAATGATCAGCTCTTCCTCCCACTCGACCCCCTCCCCCCCTTTGACCCAAACAGAATGGGCATGTCTTATACAACTCTACATACTTTAGGTCCATGTGCGTAGTTTGGGGCAGTCAATGCCCTCTTATTGTCAACAAAAATGTAAGGAATACATACAAAATAACATCGCCAGTTCGTGAATCACAAATCAGCTACCAGCCTTGGCTACCTCACTTTGTCAAATGCAGATAATTCAACACTAGAGCAACCACAGGATTTTCTGCTATATTGTTTCTGACTATGTTCTGGTTTGGAAAGTAAGATTTCATCAGCTATAAATTTCCCAAACTTCTCCAAAATCCTGAAATATTGGCAGGAAATTTTTGGTCAGAAATATACAACTTTTTACTTGTTTGGTAGTTCTTTAGCTTACCTATAAAAGAATATGACATCAGGTAAGTCCCCATTTTCAGCAGGGAAATAATCAGCATGAGAAGTTATGTTGTCCAGAGTCGGTTTTGTTGTTACTCCTAGAGATTAATCCCAATTAATATGAATAGCACCGCATAGGAAAGATAGAGAATACATTTTAAGGATAAATACATTTAATTCCCCAAAATATATCAAGTTAAAGTTTTTTGCATCAGAAGGTAAGTCCCATGTTGTATTAATTACTGTGTTTGATTAATACATTTGTTTTGTCCATAGTTGTTCTCAGGAATTGAAACTGGAACCAGAGCATCTAGCAGGTCTTGATTTATTTTGCACAATATATCACACAGCTAATACTATGTGACCTGTTTTTAGCTGTTTATTTGCCAGTTCCAAAATTTGTTGTATATTTCACCTTATTACAATAGTCTAAAAAATGAAGAAGTAGTGTTGAGTGTGTGTGTAAAGCATGATGAGTAGTATGAACTATAACTTTGCTTTTCTAAGAATGAGAAGAACTAAAGTGAAAAAGTGCCAAGAGGTACAGGCACAGGTAATTTTATGGTGACTTGGAAGAAGGACCTGATACCCACAATGACCAGGATGGTGCGGTTAAGTGTGGGAATGAGTCTACTATGAATGTGTATGTGTGGTCAAAATATTCTGGCTCCCCCCCCCCCCAAGTCTCTGAATCAAACCATTAATAGTCACAGACTGTATCACTATTTTAAGTTACGGTGTTTGGAGAGAAGTCTGGGCAGTGGTAAAAAGGAATCAGTGAGCCTCAAGAAACTGTGGAGGAAGAATTCTACGAAGAATGGTGGAGAGGTGATGGAAAACAGAACGGAGAATGGACATCTGGTGCTTTTTTTTTTTTAAGAAAAAAAGGATCCTCCTGCTATTATGGTTTCATTCTTTTGTGCCAGTGATTAAAGTGATTCTGCCAATTCTGGGTCCAGATTTGGTTCAGTATGTTTAAAGATCACCTGTGTGGCACTTTCATCTGGCAAGTGCTTTTGACTTCTGTTCAGTAAAGAGGCTAATTTTTTTTCAATGGCTCTCACCCACAAAGGTATCCGCCAGGCTCACAGGCTGAGAAGAGACCATGGTTTTGTAACCCATCACTTCGGAAGGAATCATGACAGACTGGCATACATAGGATGAAGTTGACTTTGAGAACTCAGTGCCTTTGTCCAAAATATGAATATCTGTGACATTATTTACGCAGAGAGCAGTCTTCTTTCCCTTCAAGAAAAAACAAAATGAGAGACTTGATAGCAACCCTGTCTCTCACTGCTATTAAAAAGTGAGGTGCTTTTTTTGAAATATTGTACAGGTAGTCCTCAAGTTACAACCATTTGTTTAGTGATTGTTTGAGGTTACACTGGCACTGAAAAAAAGTGCCTTATGACTTATGAATGTTTTTATGGCTTTCCACCATTCCAGCATTCCCATTTAGTCACGTGATAAAAATTCAGATGTGTGGAAAGTGGCATGTATTTATGGCAGCTACAATGTCTTTGGGTCATGTGACCAACTTTTGCAATCTTCTGATGAGCAAAGTCATCGGGAAAATTAGATTCACTTAACAACCACAATATTCTTAACAATTGCAGTGATTCATTTAATAACTATAGGAAGAAAAGTTGTAAAATGGGGGCAAAACTCACTTAACTGTCTTGCTTAATGATGCAAATTTTGGACTCAACTGTGGTTACAAGTTGAGAACTACCTGTAATCATAAAAATATATGGGCACTGTGCTGCAGAACTGGGGTTCAAAAGATGTACAGGGACAAACACATTTCTCTGTCCAAGAATGTGTGCATCTCCCTGCATTAATTAGAGCTGTCCAAAAGAGTGTCAGGTTTGCATTTGCTTAAATGTAATAAAAATTAATAGTTTTCAAAAAAAAATGACCTGTCTTCCAACTTTTCAAAGTTTTGTTTTCTTTGATTTTTTTTGTCATTAGTGTTTTAGAAGTTATTTTAGAAGTTATTTTTTAGAAGTATTATTATGAAACAGTCGAAAATGCTGGCATTATTTTTTTCTGCTAATATCAGCTTTCTCACCTTCTCTGTGGCCAAACTTTTTGCCTATGCTTCCTTATCTGACACCCTCACCCACCACTCTTGCCCTGGGAGCAGGTTTGGGATGCTACCGGTTCGGCCCGGTTCTATAGAACTTGTAGTTGCGAAGAGCAGCTGACACCGAACCAGTTCAGTATTTGGCCCATCCGCCTGCCTGGGCTCTAGGCTGTCCTTTATTCCCTGCTTTTCCATCCTCAACTGCTTTGCGCAGCACAGTTGAGGTTAAAAAACCAGGAAACGAGGATTTTCAAACGCTGCACACCCGAACGCAGCACTTGTCAGCTGTCCAAGCGGCACAGCTGCTGATTTCTTGCAAACACTGCACACACAATTGTCCCCAGTTTGGAGAACTGGCAAATCGCTCCACTGGCTGGCCCCTCCCCTCCCCGCCCACTCACTCCTTACCTAGCATGCGAGCCATCCAACTTGCCTGGTTTGGTAAGTTGCTATTTTTTATTTTTTTTCCCCCCAAGCATCAGCTGTTCTGCTTTGCCAGGAGATTTAGATTAGCTGGAAAGGAAATCCTTTGATTTCTTGCTTTCTAGCTAATCTAAAAGCAGAGCTGAACCTTCCTTAGGACTGAAGCTTTTCAGTGCAGACTCAGGTAGCCGATTGCAGATAGATAGATCTCTAAGTTAACCTGTGATTCTATGAGCAACTCAATCTGCCGGCCTGCTTTGGGGTAAAAGTTGCTCTTTTTTAAAAAAAAAATCAATATACATGGTGTGTTATGAGTTAATTTTGTGAGTTTGCTTGCTAGAAACTTTTATGGGTTTGTTTGCAAGCAAATTTTATATGACAGATTCAGATAGCTGATTGCAGACAGATAGATCTCTAAGTGAATCTGTGATTCTGTGAGCAACTCCATCTGCCTACCTGCTTTGCCCGCTTTTGGGTAAAAGTTGCTCTTTTTTATTAAAAAAATCAATATTTACATCGATATTTATAATATTTACATAGCCATGCCCACCCAGTCACATGACCACCAAGCTACACCCACAAATTAGGCCACATCCACAGAACCAGATGTTAAGAAATTTGAATCCCACCCCTGCCTGGGAGGCATTCGTTGTAGATTAAGCTGAAGAATGGGAAGTCAATGAGGATGCAGATACGATCATATAATAAAATAAAAAAACTCTTGCACCCACTGTTTCACCTCAACCTTGGCACCTTTAAGATGTCTGGACTTCAACTGCCAGAATTCCCCAGCCATTAGCAGAAGTTGCCAAGGCTGAGAAACCCCGCTTTAAATGGACAAACTACACTATCTCCAGTGCTTCCACTGATGCTTGCCTCATGAAAATACACATATACTTACATAATTTCCACACAGGCTGATGTTGAAATGATGAAAATACTTCAGGCCTTTTGAAGTAAAACTTGGCCCTCCTAAAAAGGAGGTGCTGTTAGCCAGTCTGGAGAAGTTATACTCCAGAGTCCTATCCTTCTTGCTGATTGAGAAGTGACAGTCATTGTAACACAGAGAATGCATCTAAAGACAGAAAGAAAACACACCCCAGCAGAAGGATTTAGAAACTGTTGACTTTGTCAGCAACTGTAGAAGGACACTCAAATGTTACTGAGATGTCTATCACCAGCTCCAGAATCCCTTAAGGTTCTGCTCAGACAAGCCTTGCTTGGCCAAACAACCTGGATGATTATAGAAAACAGAATATTGGAGAGGAAGGACTTAGCAGGTCTTGTGCTATTTCAGTTTCTAAAAGAATATAATTTTATTTGTGTTTAAGAAAAACCTACATTGATTCAATAAAACAAAAATCCATACAAATTATTTGATAATTTGAGAGGATGAAGTTAAATCTAATTTTCTTCCAAAATACCTCTCATGCAATTCTTACATATAACACTTTACTCTTCTTTCTGAAAGATTGTGTTCATTGATTGATGAACTAATTTAGCATATTTGATTATTGCTATTTATACAGCTACACACACTGCCTATCTATGGCCACAAAAGCTATATGAGAGTTTTTTAAAAGATTGTAATGATTTAATAACAGGATCAACATTTCAGATTCAGAATATTCTGTAAATTTATTGCCAACCAAGAGATTGTACCATGCTCAGCACTATATGCTGGAAGAAAGGAAAGACTACTTTTTTGAAGAATATTCTGCTCTTTGTGTATGCACAGTGTACATCTAAAAATGTAGCTCCAAAATAAATCAGGAGTATAGTTCTGAAGCTCCTACTACTGTTGAGCAAACAGAATAGTTATTTTAGGTGAAGGCAAGTTTTGTTTGCTATTTTATGCACTGAACTTTGGATTTGGCATTCTAGCACCCACAGCGCTTCTCTCTCATGAATACCATCTTATGTCATGAGGAGAATCCAAAAAATAAATGGCGAAAATCTTGTTTGAGTCCCAAAATTTAATACAACCTGGAGTGAGAAAGTTAAAATCTTCAATGAGTTTGGACTTTTGAAGTTAATTTTGATTAAATATTGAGCTTCTCTGCACTGTTGCAAAATCATACAATGACACAGGTACAGTATTTATTTATTTAATCTAATATATATATAGCTATCCTTCTCACAGAGGTGAATTTGGCCGATGCACAAAGAATGTTATCCCTGGGTTGGATCTTTGGGTTATTAATGCTGGCTGACAAGCAACACATAGTCCTCCACTTAGAACAATTCATTTAGTGACTATTTGAAATTACAGTGGCACTTAAAGTGACTTGTGGCCATTTTTCGTAGTTACTGTTGCAGCATCCCCATGGTCATATGATCAAAATTCAATTCATAGTATCATCCTTTGTGACCTTCTGACAAGTAAAATCAATGGGGAAGCCAGATTCACTTACTAACTGTGTTACTAACTTAACTACAGTGATTCACTTCACAGATGTGGCAAGAAAAGTCATAAAATTGGGCAAAACTCACTTAAGAAACAGATATTTTGGGCTCAATTATGGTCATAAGTCAAGGACTACATGTACAGCATTTCATACAAATTCTTATTTTATGTAATGAGGTAATAGATAGCTAATTTGGCTATCTGGAAAATTGTCAGAAGCACAGAATAGTATTTTTTCTAATGTTATGTAAGCTGCCTGTTGCAAACTCCTTCATTATAACTGAAAAGAGCCATAATTTCCTGATTCAATAGGTGGAAATTAGAAAGTAAAGAAGTTTCCACTTGAATGTGCTTTGGGATATATTGGTTGGAGACATAATGCAGTTGCTGACATTCTTAAAAAAGCTCTTCTCAGTGAATTCTGCTAAAGAAACTTTCTGAGAGTTGTGTTAGGAAAAGGATCATGCTTGGTTTTGAGCAGAGGTCAGGAATCTGACAAATTGCCATTTTCTGGCAATGTATGTGAACCTAATATTTGATTGGAATTTATTGCCCTGATATTGCTTTCGTTATTTTAAGTGACAATCCTTTGTCACCTCCAATAGTTGCACCCCTCATGTTGCACTTTTATTCAAATAATGATGTAGCTCCAGTTGTCATAATACAGAAATTATGAACAGTAAAGAGGACAATATACTACCTTGTTATTTTTTGTGCCAGGGCCACAAGGGATGCAAGCTTGATTGCCATAAGGTTGGTGAGCTTTCAGGTAAGTGTTTGATGGACATGGAGAACAACCACCAGATGTTTTGTCAATGTAGTGCCCATGAGGGCAGGAAGTGCAAGATGAGCCAGAGGTTTCCAAAGCACACTGCCGGCAGTAAGAAGCTACACCGTCTATGACATTGGTCACATTGATGGAGTACAATCTGGCAACATCATTTGTGTATTTTCTTCCCTGGAAGAAAACGTAGAATGTCACAAATGTCTTGGTGAAGGAAAAGTATTCAGTTATAGAGAAGGCAATTGCAAGTTATAGTGGGCATAGTCCTAACTTTAATGGCCCCTATTTCTAAGAATAAACCTACATTTTGATGAGGATCAAAATGGATATTTGAAGAACTAGTTAAAAACAGATTTCTCAGTCTTTACCGCTTCGTTGTAGGCTGTCCTCTGGAAGGCCCATGTGAAACTCGTAGTAGCATTCTTCTCAACAACGTACGTATAGGATTGTTTTCCTTTGGAGCCAAACCAGGTTTCTACAGGGGAATTGGTTCTAGAATTCATACCCTACCAAAAATGAAATGGTATAAATCTATGAATAAACAATACACTTCAATAATTCTCGGTTTTAGATATTGGATAATAACTTACCACCATAAAATAAAGTTCACAATTCACACTGCAGATGGTTTCAAAGACAAAAGTGATTTCTGCTACCTTCTTATTTTCAGAGTCTTCCATAACTGATTGTGGTGGACTGCAAAAGAATAAGCAGAACTCATAAATTGTAGAAATAGCTATAGATGAAACATCTAAATTATTGCTGCTTACTTCAATAACTACGTAATCAGAATATCTATTTTAGTAGCCAGGTAATCAGAATATCTACCTTCCATTTCAAATATATTCAGAACAAGATATTCCAATAGAATCATACTTCAATCACATAGATGCATTCTATGATTCAGTGTACAGCATGTCAGTCACTCTATGCACATTTATTTGGTTGTGACAAAACAATAAAATCTGTGCCCAGTTTTCAAGATCACATTTTAAAATTCTGTTAAGAATCAGCTCAATCTTTCTTTCACTGTCTCCTTCTGACATTTGGTATTAATCACTGTGAAGTAATGCAAGCAGAACACTGACTGGAAGAAGTTAAATTTGTTTATGCAGCTTTCTTACTAACAGTACCACAGGGGTTTGCCACTGCATTCTTTTGGACCCTTTCTACTGATTTTTCAGTGTAGCATACAGCCTTTGTATTTCATAATAATTTCCCGTCCATGTCCTAACCAAATTCAGCCCTGCTTAGTTTCCAAGCCCAGGCAAGTTTAGCCAGAAGCTACTGTTGACTGAAGCTTACCTAGAAATTAAACACAGAGCTTAGATTAATGCTTCATTTATACTTTCCATTTACAGTACTTATTGCATCTGCTCACATTGCTTTACCAACACATAGCTTAAATTGGACTAGTGACATCACCTGAAGCCAGGAATCACCAATGTTAAAATCATGAAATCATTGTCAGAACCTCCTGCAGCTGTGTAGATGTAGTCACCTGCCACTTCCCACCCTGAAAATAAAAATCAAGAGTTAACCACTTAACCACAATTTGAAAAAAGGTTATTCTTTCCATTATGTAATATCATTTTTATGTGAAATTTTGTGCATTCTTTTCACAGAAACTCAAGGGCTCTATTGCTTTGAACTTATTCCCCTAACATTTTCAAACTAGTTTCTCTAGAAGAACTTGGATCACAATTTGAGAAGTTTTTCAGGGATCAGGGCCGCTACTAGCTGGGGAATTCTGGAGGTTAGAATCTCAACAAATCTGGAAGGAAGAACTCAGATCATTGAAAGTTGTGATAACATATAGCAATGCAGTAGAGGTCAGTTGAGAAGTGCATATTAAAGGTGCTTTCAGGAGTGGAATGGAGAACTGAAGATGTATCCATGAAAATAGAACTGACAACTGCCATGAAAAACAAAGCCTGTGAATAGACCACGGATAGATTGTGAATAGAGGTTCTTCAGAACTTCTCTGAACAAAGGGAAGACACAAGGATGCCCACATGTGCTCCAGATGGCTGCTCTTCAGGAGACTGAATAACAGCTATCTTCAATTGCACAATAGAATTAGAATTAGAATAACTTTATTGTCATTGTACAAGTACAATGAAACTGTGGATGCACCCCAGCAACTGTTCACAATACAATAAAATCAAAGCACTTAAAAATGAAGATAAGAAAGATAGAGTACCCATGTCTCCATTTGCAATTTGAGAGTACAATATCTATGAATATACACAAAATTTACATCCAACACTGATTGTAACGCTTAGCCAAGTATAATACACAAGAGATGGATTGTACTGTAATATGTTATTATACATCTGAATGGGGTATTGGAGTATTAATGAGGTAGTGACTTCATGTTTATTTGCAGTTCAGATAGCCCAGGGAAAGGGCTTACCTGATACGCCCATTCTCTGTGAGCTGTGAAGAGCATCCAGAAGTGGGAGGTGCTTCAGTCTCTTCTGGAAAGGCTGGGCTTAAAACTCCGGTATGCTCCTCCTCCTCCACAGGACACCTCCTCAGTGTCCCCCAGTTTTGCAAAGACTGAGTGCCAAAGTCCGAAACTCATCACCTAATTTAGATCCCTGACTGGAACGGAACTCCACCAGATGGAAAGAAATGGGTGGGGCTGGATGCTCTTCACAGCTCACAGAGAATGGCGTATCAGGTAAGTACCAACGCCCTTTCTCCCATGAGTTGTTCAGAGCATCCAGAAGTGGGACATTCCAAAGCTTGGCCTGTCCTTAGGGAGGGACTCCATCTGGATTGAAATCCACTCCTAAACTCTATGGACCCTCTGCAGGACTCTTCTGCCAAATGAAGCATCCGCTGAGGCGGAGACATCAATTTTATAATTTCTGACAAAGGGTGATGGTGAAGCCCCAGTCGCCGCTCTGCAGGTTTCGTCTATGGAAGCCCGAGTGGCCCATGCTGCTATGTTGCCACACTCCTTGTCGAGTGGGCCGTAATGCCCTTAGGAACTGAGATGGACTGGCATTTGTAACTTTTAGCTATGGTGGCTCTCAACCATCTACCAATGGTCGTCGATGACATCCTGTGTCCTAAAGTGGATGGGTTAAAGGATAGGAATAGAGCCTCAGATTTTCGAAATGCCGCCATGCAGTCTAGATAGATGCTTAATGCCCTTCGAACGTCAAGTCGATGCCACTGATGCTCCAGTCTATGAGATGGTTTTGGACAAAAATTTGGGAGCACCAACTCCTGCACTCTGTGGAAGGCTGAATTTACTTTAGGGATGAACGATGGATCCAATCTGAGAACCACTCTGTCCACATGAAACACGCACAGGTCCTTTCTCATCAGCAATGCTGCCAACTCGGAAATCCTCCTTGCTGATGTGGTCGCAATTAAGAAGACCACCTTATATGTCAGGAATTTAAGACTAGCAGTTCCTAAAGGCTCGAACGGGCCAGTTGTAAGTGTGGTTAACACCTTGTTGAGCTCCCAAGTAGGATAGCGGTGAATTACAGGTCATGGTAAGTTTGCAGCACCCTTAAGAAAGCTGCGGACATGTGGGTGGTGCACTATGGAACGAAGGTCACCCCAGGATGTCACCGAGGCTAAGGTGCCACCTGTCTGCGTAAAGTATTTGGAGATAGGCCCTTGGTCAACCCCTCCTGTAAAAAGTCCAATAACTGTCCTATTGATGGGGCAGTTGGGTCAATCTTAGGCCCCCGGCACCAGCGACAGAAAGCGAACCACGTGGCCTCGTATATATGATTTGTAGAGGACCACCTGGATGCTTGTATGGTGGCAATGGCATCCTCTGGAATCTGTTGGGTCCTTAAACGGTTCCGTTCAACCTCCATATGGCTAGGCTGAGCCATCGTGGGTCCAGGTGAAGTACCGGCCCTTGCGAGAGGGAAACCCTCGATGGTGGAATTTTCCAAGGTTGTTCTCTTGACAGTTCCTGTAAGTCCATGAACCACGTTCGCCTGGGCCAGTAAGGGGCGACCAATATCAATTCCACTCATTCCTCCAATAACTTCTGGATCAACCTGGGTATTACAGGGAGTGGAGGAAACGCATATAGAAGTCCGGGAGGCCACTAACATTGCAGAGCATTGACAGCCTCTGCCCCAAGTCGGGTACCTTGAAATATACCAGGGCAATTGGGCATTGAGGGGAGAGGCAAATAGATCAATCACCAGTTGCCCAAACCTCCGCACTGCTTCCTGGAAGAGAGACAGGTGTAGGCGCCACTCTGCCTGATCTATCGAGGCCCTGCTGAGCCAGTCTGCTTGTGTGTTTAAGGTCCCTGCTATGTGCTCTGCCTTGAGTGACAACAGATTGGCCTTGGCCCACTTGAACAACCTGGCCATCTCCAGCATCAGAAGTTTGGAGTGGGTACCCCCCTGTCTGTTTATGTGAGCCTTGGTTGTGATATTGTCTGTCAAGACCAGAATGTGGCGTGATTGAAAAAGGAGTAGAAAACTGCGTAACACCAGAAGAACTGCTCTCAGCTCCAACAGGTTGATGCTTTGTGATTGTTCGGAAATAGTCCAACTTCCCTGTGCAGTGTGGGATTGCAAGTGAGCTCCCCCTCCTACCAGGCTGGCATCGGTTGTGATTGTTGCCCTGCAAGGTTCCTTGAAAGGACCCCCCTTGTTTATCGTGTTTTCTGACCACCAGCGGAGCGATCGGAGAACATTGTGCGGTACCTTTATCCGGACGTTGGAAGTGGCTCTTCCAGATCGCTGGAAAGGTAGCAGGAACCATTGCAGATCTCTAGAATGGAATCGAGCCCAAGGCACAATGGAAATACAAGAAATCAGTTTCCCTAACAGTTGAGACAGAACTGCCAGGGAAACCCTCTTTAAGGCTCTGATCTCTCTGGCCAAAGAATGGATACTATTCAACCTGTCCTGAGAGAGAAAAACCTTGCCCTCCACGGTATCTATCACTGCCCCTAAATGAACTAACCTAGTTGAAGGGATCAAATGGCTTTTATCCCAATTT